GGGGGAGGGAACAGTGCCATTCGCCACCCCACCCCACCACCCAACAAACTCAACCATCAAAACATGTTTAATCCGGCCAATAACAGTCCCAAGCCTGTATAAAGGCAGAGGGAAAATGTTCAGGATTGTGGATTGCAGTAGACTCGTAGATCATTAACTAGAACAGCTGTAAGAAATGGTCCAGTAGAAGGTTGTCAAGCAGAACACAAAATATCCCAGTAGACCATCAAGTCGGCTGGCATCGTTCAGTTTGAATATAGAGAAGAACACTGACAAAATATTTACTGTCACTTAGTGCCGGGGAAAAAAGCAAGAAGGATAAAGAAAAATAATAGGCATCCTCTGTATAACCATTCACAAAGAGAGGCACATCGACATAAGACCAATCATGAACTCACAGAAAAGGAAGACAGACTTGGTTTTAGTATACCGAAAAGCAAAAGGGCACACTAAATGTTTTACCAATCAGTGCTGGTAAAAAGCAAGATCAACAAACAGAAATAGCAGAGGGGAAATAAAAAAGCAGGACCTACTAGGCACCACATAGACAGAGAGAGAAAGACAGACGGTAAGAGAGCGAGAGCGAGAGAGGGACAGAGAGAGACAGAGACACAGACAAAGAAAGAGAGAGAGAGAGATGGGGGGGGGGAGATGCCATGTCCATTACAGGTTTGTCAGCTTTTTCAAAACCCAATCAGGGACACCCAAAATCAAAACATCATATTACTTCGAACAAAATTAAATGAAGTAGGACTCTTCGAGCTGTGTATGTGACAAGCTCTCAACTTCATCATCATCATCATCATCATCATCATCACCATCATCTTTCTCACCCTGGATCAGGGTATAGGCCAATAACAAACACTTTCCATCTCGCCTATCCTGGGCTATTCTCTTGATGTTCTTCCATGTCTTCCCATTTTTCTGTACATTAATTTCTGTGACTCTTCTCCATGATGTTCCACGTGGTCTATCCCTAACTCGCCACTTCCTGATTGCCAAATCCCGGACAGTCCAGGAAAATTCCGGAGAGTTGGAAAGCCTGTCATTAACTTAAGACAGACTGAGGGAGCCCTGTACCAACCTACCTGAGGCACCCACTTGGGCGAGACAAAGCTGGTGGCCTCAATGACCGGCAGTCCCGCCTCGGCCAGCTTGTTGATGAACTCAACTTTGACCTCTGTGGGAACCACGCCCTGCGGATGGGTAATCGTAATGGTAAGCGTTTGGCGCCCACATCCACACAGTTTGGATCATTTAGGGGCCAGTGGTGATGGGACAAGGGAGAAATTCTTTTTCGCATTTTATTTAGTAAGAGTATTACAGCCCTTGCAATACAATAAGGTAGTATAAGTGCCGAAAATAAGAGGTGTTACGAGAGAGTAACAAACAGAAAAAAGGAGGAGGGGAGAAAAGGATGATAGATGGTTTATAAGAAAGAAGGAGCAAACTACACCAGAGCACCTGCCAACCGCCCACTGACGTTCTTTTAGGTTTAATTCTAAAAGGTTTTTACGCTGTATTTAACACAAATACATTACTCCACAGATGGGTCCCAGAATCTTTCCATGACAAGATATTACACTATCTATATCTCTTGAAGGTGAATCTTTCTATGACAGGGTAGCAGACTCTCTTTATATCTCTTGAGGGTGAACCTCTCCATGACAGGATGATAGACATCTATATCTCTTGAAGGTGAATCTTTCTATGACAGGGTAGTAGACTCTATCTATATCTCTAGAAGGTGAATCTTTAGATTACAGGATAGTAGACTATATATATCTCTTGAAAGTGAATCTTTCCATGACAGGAAAGTAGACTCTATCTATATCTCTTGAGGGTGAATCTTTCCACCACAGGATAGTAGACTATCTATATCTCTTGGGGGGTGAATCTTTCTGCCACAGGATAGTACACTATCTATATCTCTTGGGGGTGAATCTTTCTGCCACAGGATAGTAGACTATCTATATCTCTTAGAGGTGAGTCTCTAGTTTACAGTACAGTACACTATCTACATATCCTGGAAGTGATTCTTTTCACAGGGTAATAGGTTGTCTGTATCTCCTAGAGGTGAGTCTTTTGACAGAATAGTCGACTATTTTTATTGTATATCTCTTGGAGATGAGTCCTTTTTTTGACAGTATAGTAAACTATCTGTATCTGTTGGAGATGATGAGTGTTTGGTTGAAAAAATAGTAGACTATCTACAGTAGAGTCCACTTAAACTGAAATCATCATTATTATTATTACCATTATTTAGTAAAAGTAAAGTTTGCAACCACAGGAAGTGAAAAATTGGATCCAAAGAGGTCAAAGAAAATTATATTAGTTCTAACAGGCAAATAATTAGAATTATACGCCTCTCGTGAAAACATATGTGAGGCAGCGTGGTAAAATCAGGCCCTCGTTAAAATAATGTCATCACGGAAACCTGCATTTTACTGGCCATTTGCAAATTTTTTCTAATTTTCTTTTTATGGCTCGATACCTTTTATGTCCATTTAAGAACACCTTTCTGTGTCGATTTTTATTGAAAATTGTTGATTAAAGGCGCAAAAAAATGTAAATTTGCAGTTTTCAAGGACACAAGTTTTGGTGGCTGTTTTCTCGCTATTTTTACCCCTGACACCGGGCAACCCCCACCTCTTTCATTTGCAAATATCTTGACTTCTATTCAAACAGATGGATATTTTTTCGCCAAATGCAAGACAAAGGAACAAGTTTCTATAGGATACTAATAACTCCATATGCCTAAAAATAGGTGAGTGCCTGTGACACATATAGTTCTGAGCTGCCCTGTCGTCAACCGACGCCACTCACCGCCTCATTTTGCAGGCCATCCCGGGGTCCGACCTCCACAATCTTCACAAAACTGGGCAGGCCAGCCAGCTGAGGACACAGAGACAGAAAGAAATAAAGCACACATATTAGTGAGACAGTAACATAGATACAGTCGAACTTGCTCTAACAGCCACCCATATAAGACAATCACTTGTACTTTTTTTTTGGTTTAAGAAAATTGACATATGGGGTAGACATAAAGAAATTGTAAGCTGTACATGTACATGCACTTAAACACATACAAACACACATAAACACACACACACACACACATACACACACACACACACACACACACACACACACACACACACACACACACACACAAACACACACACACGCACACACACATTCCCCTACATAGACACAAGCATGTGCACACACATACACATAAATTATACATACACATATTTGCAAATACAGACATGCACATTTTAAAAAATGAGTATGTGAGTAAACACTCACTCAGACATGCACACCCACATGAGCGCCCACACATACACACAAAAACACATAAACACCTCCATCTATACTCAAAAGTTCTTTCAGAATTTTCAGTACTCCAGCAAGATTAGCTTTCCCAGTGGCCTAACAGCACAGAAAGTATATCTCCACACAATATCCTGAAGTGTAACTGAAAGAGACAGGGAAGACATCTAAAAGAAAACGTCCACCACAAAGTTACTGCAGAACTCTTGTAAATAATCAGAACTATTACTCTAACTGCAAAACTTTAAGGAATAATCAGAACTATCAGCCTGCATGGCTCCATAAATAACAAGAACTATTCCCCACACCAAAAAAAACTGTCACACTCACTACACAGAGACATATATCTATATACAGAACTGTTCAGGAGATCGAAATAATAACTACTAAAAATTCCTCATGTACTGACACAGTCAGGACAGAGACATAGATAGCTGGTGCCTCCAAGAACAAACAATTATTAATGTAACAGAACGCATCATTCAAGAACATCATAACCTCAAGATAAAGAAAATGAGTACCAAAGTTCTCGCAAACAAATGAAAAACAAAGGGTTAAGACAGTATCTATATAAAGAAAAAAATGGCTCTACACATAATTTATTTTTTAGGGTAAGTATCACTCAAATCTACAACGCAGCCTAAAAAAAGAAAAGAATGCGAGCGCCAAAGAAATCAGAAACAATAAAGGAAAGAGAACAAAGAAAAGAAGCCCAGTTCTTCAAAATGAACTCAATTCATCGAAAACCCTCACATCAGTCTCGCAGCAAACAATGTCGCTGGTAGAAGAAGCATCGTCGGCATCCTCAACATCATCGGCAATAACAAGAGACTGCAACATCTGCACCTCTCTTGAAATAGAAGGCTTTCTCTTTTTCAATAACAACAGAAACGAACAAACTCTCTTAAATTAACCAAAATCTCCAAAGTTTAGTCACGCAATGCTGCAAATTTTGTAATGCTGCAAACCAATTCCAGTTCCTGTTGTGTTATTTTCCCCTTTTGCTTGTCTCAGTAACAGCGCAACAAAACTTCACTTTTCTTCACTTCATCTAGCTTAGAACGGGTACCCCCCCTATAGACAACAAAAGATATCGTCAGTTTATAAGTGTTATAGCACATGTAATCTGCAGCTTGCACAGTATGCTTCCCAGGATGCCAAGAATGTTTCTGAGTATTTTTAGTTTTAGTAAAGAGTTTTACGGCACTTGCAACACAATAAGGTCATATAAGTGCCGAAGATTAGAGGTGTTACAAGAGAGTAACAACAAACGTAAAAAAGAAGGAGGAGAGATAAGGACGGTAGCTGTTTAGAGGAAAGAAGGAGCAAACCACACCAGAGCACCCGCCAACCACCCACTTTCTGAGTATTCTACAGTCAGCTTAGGGGTAATAATAGTGTTTAAGTACCACAGAGCATGTTGTTGAACTTGGATGTTCAATATAAATGCAGTCATTATTACCATTATTATTTATTATTATTACATTTGTATTATTATACTATCATTATCATTATTATTTCATACAAAGAATAGGCACACATAAGAAAAACATTCAGGATGGACCTACAAATAGGTTCACTATGTGTATGTTAGACAGTATATTATAACAATAATATCTGCTCACATCTAGTACATCATCAAGTGAGAAAAAGTCCTGGTCCCCCATGGCAGGCCCCTGCTGTGTCCTGGGTAAACAACAGTAGGGGTGTGGTCAGTGCAGTCAAACCTCAGCGTGACCCGTGATGGTGTCAGAATGGTCAGTCCAGTCCGACCCCAACCCCAACAGAACAACTGCTGCACCACACAGCAACTCAACACGGAGTCCAGCGCTGCAGCACGTTCAGGGAAGGAGAGCTCGAGACCACAGCAGTCGGTCAAACACAACTGACGACTGACCAGTGGTGGATGTCAAGTACAGCACAGTGCTACCAGAGTCCTGAGCTATGGCAACAAGACTGTGCACACTGACATGACCAAAGATTTTCCACTAGAGAATCTTTGACTTGCCCACCAGGAAACCACCACAGGGGCCAGACCACGCACAGTCAACAACTACCAGAAGACAAACGCGGTTCAGCGACACCTCTATCCACCACAAATATAGGAACACCTCAGGCACAACTTCACCGCACAGGCACATCAATGCATCGATGCATAAATTAATAAATTAAGGGATCTATAACAAGAAGACATTCCTGCTTACACCTTGATCGTGAAAAGATAGAGGACAACAAATGTGATGAAGCAATCGTCGCGAAGCAATAATTATCTCATCAAAGGAATGTGCTGGTCACGGCTACAGACGATACACCACCCGGGTCATTAAGTCTAACTTGCTTCACATTCCTGGATGATGTCACTGACCCTTCCACCAATTTCAAGTTTATTTTGGATGCTGTTTGTTTGTTAGCTTGTTTGCGAGAAAGATAAGCCCATCGACACCGGCAACGGTCATGTAGGCCTTCTCAGTTCTAGGAACAAGCGAGTCTAAACATTGTCACAACAGAAGGACAGTGAAGAGGAACCTACTTGAGATATCATCATTAACACCTGCTATTGTTTACGTATGTCAATGACTCCCCCCCCCCTCTCCTACACAAAAACTTGATCCAACAATCCATAGTCCTCATCATTATATCTATTCATAAACAAAATAACAGTAGTCATTTACATCACTCATAACAATAGTAATCTCTCTCTCTCTCTCTCTCTCTCTCTCTCTCTCTCTCTCTCTCTCTCTCTTTTTCTTTTTCTTTCTCTCTCTCCCTCTCCCTCCCTCTGTCTCTCTCTCTCAAACACAAACATACATCTACAAACACAAAGTGTCCCCTGCCCACCTCCAACAATTATGTAAATAAGCCTCTGACAGTACACTGGCCAGAAGCCAAAATGTTCACTGGATGACCGGGCTAACCCCTCAGGGCCGATGTTAATTATGACCCTGACACACACTTGTGTCCGTGAGACAAATATTTGCCGCTGTCATCAGAAATGCCAATAGTATTAAAAATGGATACCAGTGACACTTCCAACCAGACAGCAAACATTTAAAAGACACAACATAACACTTTGACTAAAAGTAGAACTTTAAAGTGGCACACACATTATTCCAATCATACAACAGAATTATAAAACCAACAAACTCTTTAACAGACCTAAACATTTGACAGACACACCAAGGAATTGAAGACACAAGAACTCTCAAACCGGTTCATAGAGTTTAAGTTGAAGAGGTGGCTGACATTACCTGCTCCCCCCCCCCCCAAACCACAGCTGATATTACCTGCCCCCCCCCCCTACCCTCCTAGGAACCCCAATATTTTTAACAATCACATGCCAAAAGCACACACACACACATACATACTCACATATTGACACACACTCATACAGACACTCACAATTACACCAACACCCACATGATTTGTTCTACTTCACCGAGGATAATGAGAAGCAAATCGATACAAACAGTCATTTACAGCTGGAAAAAAGCAAGACAAACAAAAAATAAAGTACAAAAGGATCATAAAGATGTTTTGGTAACTTTAAATAATATAAATAAACAGAAGTGCATCGACAAATAACAATCATTAACTGCAGAAAAAAAATGCAGAAAAAAATACAGAAGAGACAGATAGTTACAAAAGAATGAAAGAAAATAAGTAGGACTTACAAGTGCCATACTCTCAAACCACCAACAAGTAAGATGAGAGGACTACTAAATCCTCTTTCCATCCACTTACAAGACACACATACACACATGAACACGCAAACACAAGCTTGTTTTCACATACACACACGCGCACACACACGCACACACACACACACACACACACACACACACACACACACACACACACACACACACACACACACACAAAGTTGACACAAACACATCCATACTCACACACATGCACACACATACAAGAGAGCACACACACACACACACACGCACGCACGCACGCACGCACGCACGCACGCATGCACGCATGCACGCACGCACGCACGCATGCACGCACGCACGCACGCACGCACGCACGCACGCACGCACACACACACACACACACACACATACAACAGAGCACACACACACACACACACACACACATACAACAGAGCACACACACACACACACACACACACACAACAGAGCACACACACACACACACACACACACACACACACAGACAATCTCTGCTAAAACCTACTATTTCAATGATCCACAGACAATGATGATCAATACTCATGCATACAATGACAAATGGCAAAGTGGGGCTCATTCTCCAAATACCAACAAAAGAAAAAAACATCAACAGTGAGAGAAAATACGCCAAAACAATTTTGCGTAACAAAAATCATTGCTACATGATTATAATTTATCTATGTTACTTATATCTTTACTTCTTCTTCTGATTCTACTGGCACAATCACACCTCACAAAATGTTGAAAAGTGCATTGAGCTTGATAGTTTAAGGAAAGGAGCAGAAGGAATTCTACAGCTGTTATAACTAATACACACCCAAAACACGTAGATAAGGCAAAAAGTGTCCTTGTACAGGCCAAAAGAAAAGCAAGTGTACGAGGAAAAAGATTCTTTTTCGGTCTATTCACCAGCATTTTCCAACCCACTTATAGGTTGGAAGACAAACTACAAACCGGAAATTAGATCAGTTTCTATTTTACGTCTGGTAAACTGTCACAAAACCATTGAAAATATAGATAAGAAAACAGATGTTTCATTTAAAAGCGAAATGCTGGTTGAGCCCAGAAAGCTTACGACTAGTTTCACAAATTGTTTTGGGAGCTCCATTTCAAGCCCACAAAGTCTTCCCTGCTCTTTTTAAAAGTTTGGCTGCTTTGAGTTTAGTTTTAGCAAGACTTTTAGATCCCTTGCACCACATATAAGTGTCAAATAAGCGCCAAAAATTCAGTGTTACTGGAGAGTAGCAAAAAAGGAGAGATAAGGATGATAGTCGTTTGATAGGAAAGAAAGAGCAAACCGCACTAAAGCATCCGCGCACATAATTTTTTTAATGAACAGTTTTCATTTTTATCAAATCTATCGTTCCATCTCTCTCCCCTCTTTTTCTGTCCCCCCCCCCTTCTCTCTCCTCTCTCTCTTTCTCTCTCTCTCTCTCTCTGTCTCTCTCTCTCTCCCTGTCTCTCTCTCTTTCTCTCTCTCTCTCTCTCTCTCTCTGTCT